TTTTTTTTTTTTTTTTGGATTTGACACCAAAAGCAAAGGTAACAAAAGCGAAAATAAACAACTGGAACTATTCCAAAATAAAAAGCTCCTGCACACCAAAGAAAACCATCAGCAAATTAAAAAGGCAGTGTATTGGATGGGAGTCAAATATTTGTAAATTATAGATCTGATAAGGGGTTAATATCCAAAATATATAAAGAACTCCTACAATTCAATAGCAAACAAACAAGCTGATTAAATGGGCAGAGGACCTGAATAGTCCTTTTTCCAAAGATGACATACAGATGGCCAACAGGTACATGAAAAGGTGCCCCCATCATTAATCATCAGGGAAATGCAAATCAAAACCACAATGAGATAGCACTTCACGCCTGTTAGAATAGCTATTATCAAAAACAAGAAATAACAAGTGTTGGTGAGGATGTGGAAAAAGGGAACCCTTGTGCGCTGTTGGATCAGCCACACTGGAAAACAGTAGGGAGGTTCCTCAAAACATAAAAAATAGAACTACTGTATGATCCAACAATCCCACTTCTGGGTATTTAAATGAAGAACATGAAAACACTAACTCGATGTGGTATTCTCTTCCAGCGTGAAAACACTAACTCGATGTGGTATTCTCTTCCAACATAAGGCTGCTCCATCTACACGGATAACCTGGGATAGCCACCTTTGTTTTCTTAGCTAGATCTTCCGGAGAACTCGCTTCCGCATCTACATCAGCACTTGCGACTTCACCTGGCACTTTTATGTTTGGAGGGGTGGGTTCTTTCCTTAAACCTCACAAACCAACCTCTGCTGGTTTTTCTTCTGCAGCGTCCTCACATCTCAGCCTTCGTGGAGTTGAAGAGAATTTGGGCCTTGCTCTGGATGAGGCTTTGTATTACGGGAAGGTTGTGGCTGGTTTTCTTTTCCATCTAGACCCCTATGACCTCATTATCAACAATAAGACTGTTTGCTTTCTTATCATTTGTGTGTTTGCTGGAGTAGCACTTTCAGTTTCCTTCAAGAACGTTTCCTCTGCATTCACAACTTGGCTAGATGTTTTGTACAAGAGGCCTAGCTTTCAGCCCATCTAGGTTTTTTGTTTTTGGTTTAAATTTTATTTATTTGAGAGAGCGAGAGAGCGAGAGAGCGCAAGCACAAGCGGGGAGGAGAGGCAGAGGGAGAAGGAGAAGCAGACTCCCCACGGAGCAGGGAGCCCGACGTGGAGCTGGATCCCAGAACCCTGGGATCATGACCTGAGCCAAAGGCAGCCACCCAGGCACCCCCAGCTTTTGATTTAAAGTGAGATGTGGGTGACTTTTCCTTTCACTTGTATACACAGAGGCCATTGTAGGGTCATTGATTGGCTTGATTTCAATATTATTACATCTCAGGGAATAGAGAGGCCTGAGGAGAGGGAGAGTGATGGGAATGGCTGGTGGGTGGAGCACTCAGCACAAGCAACACTTATCTAGTAAGTCTGAGGTCTTATGTGGGTGTGGTTCATGGCGCCCCTGTAACATCAAAGATTGTTGATCACAGATCACCACAACAAATACTGGAAAAAATGTGAAATACTGCAAAAATTACCAAACAGTGACAGCAAGACACAAAGTGAGTAAATGCTGTTGGAAAAATGGCACCGATAGGCTCGCTTGACACACAAAACTTCAATTTGTTAAAAAAAAAAAAAATCTGCAAAGTGCAATAAAGCAAAATGCAATAAAAAGAAATTAGTGCAAAAATAAATTACTAGTTAATGATATTTTCAGAACAACTTTATTTCAAGTTGGAGGAAAATTAACGTACATCCTATAGATGACAACAAATTCCAGACTTAAAGACCTAACAGCAGAACACAACAAAAATATACATGTTCTGGCTCTTGGTGGGGAAATACATTCTGACTATTGGAGAAAGAGAGGGACCACTCTCAGAGTATATATTTCTGAATATATAAAAACTTAAAACTTTTCTGCAATATTGAAATCAAGCAACAGAATGGAGAAAAATTTACAAAATAAGCTAATTAGGAAATACCTGCTTTCTAAGATATTTAAGAAATACCTGTCGGGGCGCCTGGGTGGCTCAGTTGGTTGGGCGACTGCCTTCGGCTCAGGTCATGGTCCTGGAGTCCCGGGATCGAGTCCCGCATCGGGCTCCCTGCTCAGCGGGGAGTCTGCTTCTCCCTCTGACCCTCCTCCCTCTCCTGCTCTCTGTCTCTCATTCTCTCTCTCTCAAATAAATAAATAAAATCTTAAAAAAAAAAATACCTGTCTATATGTAGACATAAATACAATATAAATATATGTGGTTTATAAATATATATGGTGTATACAAATATACAGTCTATACTAAGATCTAGATGATGCTTTGTCAAGGAAGAAAAATAAAAAATACGAACCTATGATACAAGGCATCATTATAGGAAAAAACACAACATTCCACAGCAACTAGATTTTAAAAGTGTGCATTTAATACAGAATGCAAGAAACTCGCAAGAAAAATGCAAGAGCCTAATTTTGGTGGACAAGTGGCAATGAGGGTGCAAACACACACTGCTAACAGGCTTGAAGTGTCATTTACAGGTCTGGGGCTGGGACGTCCCAGGAGCTTTGGTCAGACAAGGTTCAAACTCCCGTTCAATGCAGTGCCTGCGGTCTGGACCGGAGGAAAAGACTCGAGGCGTCCAGGGGACAGATCAACCCTTCTGCGCTCCACGGGTCCTCATGTATTTCCGCACCGGGTACGTCCTGATATTTGTACTTTCCAGCCCAAACTAACGTCTATGCGTAGGCTCCGTATAGGTCAGGTGGGAGAGTAATCTCGTGACGAGGCCACAAGGAACTTCGACAAAGTTAAACCTTCCGAACCGTGCTACCTGCTTTGCAAAAGCAAAGCAAAGCACACCCCACTTACTCGGCTGTCCACCCGGACTTATCCGGAAACCCGTGCATCAGTCCTGCCGCGGGCCTGGGAAAGGCGCGTCTGCTTTGTCCTCACCAACCGAAAAGACTCGGGTGAAAAAAGCGGGGAGCGTGCCAGAGCCGGCAGGAAGCCCGTCTCCGTGCAGAGAGCCGAGCAGCTCCGCGGCGCCGCCCAGCCAGCAGCGCGAAGCACGGCCGGGAGCCCCAGCTGGGCGCGCTCCGCGCAGAGCCCCGCGCAGGACTCCGCGCACCGACGCGGAGTCCCGGGCGCCC